AGACATTAGTAGTTTACAGAATGCTAGAGACCTATGGGAAGGCACTGAGGACGGTCTTCAAGAATCAATAGACAGAGGAAGATTCCTTATGCTTGACGGCTTCAACGATTATTCGCTTCTAACGAGGCCAAGTTACTGTAAGAGCTTTAGAAGCGGATTCTTCCAATGAGAAATTCTGCATCAACGTTGCCGGGTTCCGGGTCATCTGGACCGGATGTTGAGTCAGCCTTACTTCCCTCGGTCAAGCTTTAACCTAGGATTGTACTCTGACTTGAAAGTTTTCAATTGTGTTGCGTATTTCATAATGATAAATGACAGGAGTTCAACCCCCTATTTAACAGCCTTCATGTGTATAACATGTCGGTTGTCTGGCTGTTTTTTTGGTTTGTTTTTGAAGGAATACCAAAACGCTTGAGCCTTCTCTACTGTCATCTTTATACAGGCCCGATGGATGAGGCTTAGTCGGGACTGTAGGAGTTGGGGTAGTAGGAAGAGGAGTTGTCGGCGGCGGCCGAGTGGGAATACCACGGAGCTGGAACCTCCATTCTGTTATAAACGTCCCGTGGGTGGTAATCTCGCTCATGGGAACGCCTTGCTCCGAGGAAACGAACAGCTGTTGGAATGTATCGCCGTTGATATTAGAGTCACGACAGTTGTCCACTTGTGTCGTGAAATCTGTTTCGCTGAAGTCGGGTCCCACGTAGAGCTTATCGTCGATATAGTGTCCCTCATGATTGCGAACACGGCCAACGTGATAGGGAATGTTCTGAACAGAAGCAGTGCAGCTACCGAGCTTGATAGTCAAACTCATCAGAAGCAGGTTCTCGTAGAACTCGATAGTGCTAACAGAGTCTGAACGTTCGTTACTCTCGTAGGTCCCCACAGGGTGGGTCCCATGTGCTGGAGTAGCAGGAGATCGATTCGGGTAGGCCGGGGGTTGAGGGGGAGCACCAATAAGACCAAAAACCCAGTCTTCACCACCAGCCATAGAAGCCGTCACCTCATTCATCGAGCCGCCTTCCGAAGATGCACGGAGACGTCGGAATTGGACACTTCTCACAACCGCGTCATTACAGCTGTCAAGCTTCGTCGCGAAGTTCGTGGAGCTGTAGTCGGGGACGATCCAGAGTTGGCCATTAGAGCCAGGGATCGGAGT